TTGAATTCTTTTTTAAAAGATTGAAATTAGGCGAAGAACTTTCATACTATCTTTATTTTTTTCAAAACTTTTTCCCACCCATTATGATACCTTTATTGAAGATATTAGACAACACATAAAATAAGTTAGCAATGATAATAAGTAAGAAAAGTAACATCCCTTAGCATTCATTAAATAAAATTAATTCAAAACATCAATTTGTTTTGATTGTTGCGATTTCTTTCTAAAATATGGAAGAGTACCTCCATTAATTTTAGCTATAATTTCATCAACCTTTAAACTATCTAAAATTGGTTATAAAGAAATTTTTGTATAAGTTTCAAGAAATTAAGTTAAATGAGGAGGAAATTTATATTGCATATATCTAATGTAAGATAGTGATTATAGTAAGTCTAATAAATTGAAAAACACAATGTAATTACCAGTTAATAATAGAATTACAGAAATACTAGTTGATGAATAAACCATAGCATCATTCATTTTGATAACTTAGATTACTCTTTTCTATGTAGCTGCTGATAATATGATCGGAGTTCCTAGAGGTAGTTGTTTTGAATTAGTACTTAAATCCAAATCAAACTAATTAAAAATACAGAATTTCTATATTTAAATTTCTAAAATTGGATCTACAACAGGCTCCAAAAGTTAAATATCAATTAGATAATTAGGATTACTTAACTAGGAAGTAATTTTTATTAATGGAATAATAGTTAGTTCATATTAAGTTTATGGAATGATCATAATTTCTAATGCATGTTCAAAAAGATTTTCGCATGATATATATACTTCTTAAGAAAAGCTTAAGTCAATTATTTTACTTTTATTACTTTTATCAGAAAGTAAAATTAAATTGAAGTTTGGTGCTTGAATAAAAGTGCAAATACTGATAGAGTTTTCTTGATTAAGACATTTAAAAGAATCTTCTTAAAAACATGAAGCTGAACATCCATCTCCTCCATCATTATTTCCATCATCACATTATTCAAAATGGCTATTAAGTATTCCATTGCCACATAAATTAATACATTAATTATTGAAAAATGCTTAATTCTGATTACATTATACAATTAATTAATCATTATCATTTAATTCCTGTTTTAGTTCTGAATCAATAATTTACTTAAGTTATTCGCACTTAAAATTTTAAGTATTTAAATGATAATATTAGTCTTCACATAGTACACATTTATTGTCCTTCTCACATTAAATACATCCATAAGAGCATTAGTATTGACATTCAAAACATCCATCATAAGGGATATCATTACCATCATCGCATTATTCAAAGGAAGAGAAATTATATTGTCTCCACAAATTGGTAAACATTTCCCTTCCTTAATCTCATAAGGATATATACATTATTCACAATTTTAGAACTAATCACAAACCAAGCAATCATGATCACATTAATATTTACAATCAACACAATTAAGATCTTCAGGATCATCACATTATTCGATAGATATAATAGCCAATAATCCATCTCCACAAATTTATATACACAAATACTCTTGAAGTTACCATCCTTCTTTGCATATATAGCATTTATTTTCAGAACAAAATAAACATTCTATTTAACAACTTTATTAACATTTATAACAACCATCAAATTGGATTCTATTCTCATCATCACATAGTTCTTGTGATAATTTAATTCCATCCTAACATTTAGGAATACATTGTTTTTTATGAAAATCTAATTCATATTAATTTTGGCATTCCAAACATTTTCCAAATTCTTCCACTTTACAATTATTAATTTACAAAAATATTGATTAATTATTATGTTGATATCCAAATACTCTAAAATTTATAAGATTCAAATCATCATTAGTTTAATATATACTTTAGTATTCATATTGTGTTCTATATTACTATTATTCCTAACTCATAAAGAAATTGAAACACTC